AATTTTTTCGTAAATGTGATATAAAAAAAAATATATAAAAATTATATCATGTTTAATGTTTTTAACTATATTAAATATGTTGTATATAATTTACAGTATTRACTATCACCACAGGCTGAATGGTTCTATCTCTCTCTAAAATCTCTCTAAAACAGTTTTTGCTATGTTGTACATATTTTGTAGTATGGTGACAACACAATACGCTGTTGAAGTGTCTTCTTCATTAACCTAGCCCAATAAAAAAAATTAATTTAGTCACAACCATAATCATTTATATTTTATACCTATTAAAGTTTATTTTTATTTTACAAGGAATTTAAAATGTAGTGAACTCATATAATTTTGATAGTATTACGAGGTATATTATGTATAATACTTAAGTATAATAATGAATAATAATTTTTACCATACTTAATGTACAGCATAACCTCTATTTAACAAACTTAATGGTYTCTTGAAGAAAATTTTTTGTATAACAATTTTGTTATGAAAAATTATTGTTTTTTCACATAAAAACTCATATTTATTGAATGAAATTAATGTAATAATAGCTGTGCTTTGTGAAACTATATTCTTTCAGATATTCTTTTGCATATAATTAAAAAAAAWTTTTTAATAACAAAATCTAATGGATCTTATGATTTACAATTTCTCTTTTCAACAAACAAACTTTATTTTGGAGGAGCATGCAACACTTACTAATGAATATTAACTGTCATTGTTTTTATTTTACTTTTTAAAATGTGATGTAATTAATTAGTATTTATTGCTAAATATTTGTTCATTACCAGTCTTTTTTTTCTTTCAGATCGACTTTTGAACAGAGCGAATACTAATAATACTTCCTAATCCATATAAATCAGATGGATACTTTTTTTTATTATTGTACGTGGTGATATTATAATCAAATTTTTCAAATATGGCACAGACAGAATCTAGTTCAGATTAAACTTAAAAGAAAAAATTTTAAATAATATTACTCAACAGTCTTTTTTACTTTTATCTTATTTTTATTGCGTTTAAACATTTCATGATCTAACTTCTACAAATTATAGTATATTATGCATACTTGATGTTTTTTCTCTCATATCTGAAATTGAAATATATATATATATTTTTTTTATCAGCTTTTACTACATTAACTATTGCAGCTCAACAATTAACTTATTTATACAGAAAAAAATAGATATTTTATCAYTAGATGATGTAGTCAATTTAATATGGTCTTCTAATTAGCAATCTGGACTATCCAGGAGCTCCCTTATGAAGTTCAAAATAAATTTGACACAATTGTTTTTATGATTTATATTTTTAAGTTCTTAAATATTAAGGCTTTCATTTCCAAATCTCTCTATTTTTAATTGCACATATTGAATCATTCTATTTTGATAAAAAAAAATACAGTTAACCTTTACCTTTTTTTTTTGTGTTATCAACAACGCTGCTGAATCTGCTAGCGCATTACGTCGACCTAAAAATCAAACAATATGAGGTTTGAACTATATAATAAAAAATTGTATGTTATACTATTACTGTAAATATTAAAATCCTACAACTGTAACACTTTTTTTTTCTTTTTTTTGCATATGGCGTTATTTCCGGGAGTAGGCATGAAGGCCTAGTTCGGACGCCTATTTGGCAGAATTCAACCTAACTGTAACGCTAAATTTCTATAAATCTTAAAACAAAATTATTATTTATGTTGAAATTAAAGATTTCAATCTTAGTGTCACTCCTTAGAAGGTCCATTGCTCAGCTCTTGATATTTTGTTCTATACCTGTTTGTTGCTTAAATGTAAATATAATGGCAAATGTTCAATATTTGTGTTCCTTAGTTAATTTAAAGATCTGATAGTAATAAATTAAATTTTATGATTTGATAGATCTTTAAGATTTCTTTTAGTTTTATTACCCACTTATTTGCATTTAGTCATAATAATAGAAAATAAATTATTTTATTATTAATATGCTAAGTTTCGTTTGTTTGTCTCAATAAATTCCAATATGAATTGAAAATTTTATTTTGTAGTATTTGTAAGTCCCTAAACAAAATGGAATGCCCCCCCCCACACTAAAATTCAATAACAAACAAATTTCACTTCACCAGTCAACCAAATATTTAGGTATCATTCAATAAAAGATAAACCTGGTTAAACCACGCCAAGCAAAAACKCAAACAACTAAACTCTTACCTTCATCTACTTAAATCTAACTTGAGTCTTAAAAATAAATTATTGCTTTACAAAACTATTTTCAGACCTATGTGGTCATATGGCATCCAAATTTGGGGTTCAGTTAAATCCACAAACATTTTTCCTAACCAAGCCTTTTAATCAATTACCCTTACTTATCACTGGTGCTCCGTGGTACATAACAAATGCAGCTCTCATTAACGACCTAA